GAGTGCCCCGGGGCCTGCGGCTGGGGGGGGCGGGACTTCTCTTGGGGGTGCAGGGTGGATGACCGGTTGGAAGGAAGGCCTTCTGGGCTGGAGGGAGGTGCCTGGGCAGGGAGGGGGGGTTGCATCCTTGGGTGCCCTGCAGGGAAGGAGGGCCGCCCCCCCCCAGTGGTCTCTCTGGAGAATTTTGGGAGGTCTCACGGAAGACGGAGGTTTGCCAAGCCCTGCTTACCAGGCAGGGCCGTTGGCTCTTGTCTGGCAGCCGGCTGGAGGTGCTTCCTGCCTTCCCCCCCCCTGCCACCCCCAGGCTCATGCTCAGTGTTGATGAAGGGATGGGCAAGACCACAGACCCCCTCATGCCCGGCTCACTCGACAGCTTAAACGGTGAGAATCCGCTGTGGGCCAGGCCTCACCCTGACCCCGTTTCCTACACAGGGTGGTCTCCCTTCCACATCATACGCCGGATTGGTTTCCCAGCCAGTCCATGCAGTCTTCCCAGCCCTCCTTGCTTATAGACTGTCCCATAACTGGGCAGTTTACAATTCGGTTACGCAGGTGACGCATCACCCACCCTCCAGGCCAGCTGGGCACTCAATTTGCTGACCCATGAGTCCAACTTGAGCCGGCTGCTTGAGCCCATGGCGATCAAACTCGGATCGTGAGCCGAGTCTTCGCTGCCGTTTAGCCCCTGTATTCAGATCCCTCTTGGAAGCCCCCAGAGAATAACCTTCTACCCAGGACTGGCTTTGACGTGGAGGTGGCGGACGCCCACTGCCCTTCTCTTCTGTGCCAGCCTGCCAGTCCAGGACTAGCATATGGCTGGCCCTTGCCATCTGCTGGAACATGCCGGGTCTGGCCAATACCTGCCGAGGTCGCACCCTAGAGTTCCAGCCGCCTCCCATTTTAGGGCTCTTCCGTGCTACTTTCCCTTCCTCTCTGCGATGATAGGAAATAGGAATCACCTTCCTGGAGGGGGATGTTGCTAAACTAACTGATCTCGTAGTGTTGCAAGCACAGCGATTTTTATCTCTCCCAACTTTATCGTGCCAAACGAGGACAGTAACCTCCACGTGATACTGGATCTCCAGGGGATCCAAAGCCAATACATTCTGCCCCCGCCCCCAATTGTAGATGGACCCAGTTCCGCCGATTATTCCACTCCTACGATGTGGCACCTAGTTTGCATTTTGGAGACCCATAAGATACATACTTTCATGTCAAGAGTGGGGCTGCCCCACCAGCACTTCCAGAGGTTCACCATCAGACTAGACCTTTATCTGGAGGGGCAAGCCCCACATGTCCGCCTTCACAGATGACCCTTCAGAAAACCACACTGACTGTCAGGCGAGCTGCACTTTGGTAGTCCTGGGTGGCCGCTGGAAACGTGGCCACGGACCGGCGCTTCGGATGACGAGCGAGGCTTTGCTGAAGGGAACTTCAGATCGGCCCAGACTGAAGTCCCCCCCCCCGTGCCGCCGGCACTGAGCCGCCCCTCCCGGGCCTTTCCCTTTGCAGCACCAGCTGGAAGCTGCCCTCCTGGGCCTGGGCCAGTTCCAGAACCAGCTGGAGGAGCTTCTGCAGTGGCTTCTGCACACCCGGGCGCAGCTGCAGGGCCCTCCGACCCTCAGCCTGGACCTGCAGACCTGCGAGATCGAGCTGGCCAAGCACAAGGTGAGGGAGGGAGGGAGGGAGGGGGCAGGTGGGCACGAGGGAGAGGAGAGGCCCCAACCCTTTTGGCTGACCCCGTCCCCACCCCACCCGGACAGGTGCTACGGAACGATGTCCTGTCTCACGCCCACACGGTCCGGTCCGTGGAGGAGGCCGGCCGGGGCCTGCTGCTCTCCAGCGGGAGAGACTCGGTGGCCGGGCTGCAGGGCCGACTCCAGCAGCTGAGCCAGCACTGGGACTTCGTGCTGGGCGAGACGGAGCGCCGGCAGCTGGAGCTGGAGAACAGCCTGTGCCAGGTAAGGCAGGGGAGGGGCCGGGGGGCACCACCCTGAGCAGCAAGTGGGGGCTGACCAAACTGCCGGCGAGGGGCCTGTGGCTGCCACCCGCCCTGCCCGGGGTCTGCCTCTCCCCGGGGCGTGGGACCATGTGCAGCATCCTCACCTTCGTGCCCGCCTGCCTGGGGCAGCCCAGGAAGCAGAGGGATGGGGTGGACGTCTCCGCTTGCCTGTCTGCCTGCCTGCCTGCCTGATGCATCATTTTGGGCACCACCGGAGAAGGAGGAGGAGAGCTCTGCTTGGCTCAGCGGGAACATCGTCGGTCTTTTGCAGGTCCAGGATCTCACCCTGGAGGTCACGGAGCTGCTACAGTGGCTGGAACACGTGGAACTGCAGCTCTTCTTCTCCAAGCCCCTTGGTGCCCCCCCCGAAACCACCAAGGACAAGCTGGCCGCACACGGGGTGAGCCCCTTTGTGGGAAAGGCTCCCCCGCGAAAACCCCTCCCTCCGCCCAGAGACCACAGCAGGGCCTTTCCACTGGGGCCGATTCCAAGGTGCCTGGGCCCCCTTCCCACGGGGAGAAAGGCCAGGCCAGGCCCACTGGAACTGGGGCTCTTCCGGTGGCCCCCTTTCCCACCAGCCTTCCTGCCTTCTCCCTGGGAGCAGGATTGGCCTCAGCCCCGAGAGGTATGACTTTGCCCTTCCTTGTCCTCCTGGGCTGGCTGGCTCGCTTGGTGAGAACGAGGCCCAACCTCTACCTTGGCGGAGGTTGGGAGCTCCATCCCTGCAGTGCACCTCCTGGGAGGAGGAACCAGCCTGTGTGGCCTTGGGCAAGCAGCACAGTCCTTGCAGAAGGAGAAGGAGAAGCTTCTCTGAGTCCTCTTTACCTTAACAACACCCCTGGAAAGGGCCACCATAAATTGGAGGTGGCCCGATGGCATGCAGCTGTCGTGGTCGTTATACCAGGCCAGGCCCACTGGAACTGGGGCTCTTCCGGTGGCCCCCTTTCCCACCAGCCTTCCTGCCTTCTCCCTGGGAGCAGGATTGGCCTCAGCCCCGAGAGGCATGACTTTGCCCTTCCTTGGCTCTCCTCCGTTTCCTCCTGGGCTGGCTGGCTCGCTTGGTGAGAACGAGGCCCAACCTCTACCTTGGCGGAGGTTGGGAGCTCCATCCCTGCAGTGCACCTCCTGGGAGGAGGAACCAGCCTGTGTGGCCTTGGGCAAGCAGCACAGTCCTTGCAGAAGGAGAAGGAGAAGCTTCTCTGAGTCCTCTTTACCTTAACAACACCCCTGGAAAGGGCCACCATAAATTGGAGGTGGCCCGATGGCATGCAGCTGTCGTGGTCGTTATAAGAACATAAGAGGAGCCCCAGGCTGGATCAGGCCAAGGGCCCCTCTGGTCCAGCTTCCTGGATCTCACCATGGCCCCACCAGATAGCTGATGCCTCTGGGAGCCCACAAGACCAGGAGATATAACTGTCTCCTGATCCCCCTCTTCCCCTTCCTCTGGCCTTTGGAGGCCCCTTCCTTTCAAAAGCCTGGAGATGGTCCATCCCCATCATGGCTTGTAACTTGCGATGGGCTTTTCCTCCAGGAATCTGCCCAATCTCCTTTTAAAGGCCCCTAGGCCAGATGCCCTCACCACATCCTGTGGCAAGGAGTTCCACAGACTACCAACACCCTGGGCCAATAAATATTTTGTTCTTCCACTTCTCTCTCGTGCACCCCAAAGTCCTCAACTCCTGTTCCCACTTACTGGCCCAGTGGGAATCAGGGCGTCACCCCTTCCCCGTTTGACAGGAACTCTGCAAAGAGATGGACTCCAGGCAGCAAGCGTTCCACACCCTCCGAGAGCAGGTGCGGCACCTTCTGGCCACCCGCCACCTGCCCCGGGGGGCTTCCAGCACGGAGCACAGCCTGAGCCTCTTGGAGCAAAAGTGGGCCTCTGTCTCCAGCCCCTGGCAAGAGAGGAAGGTAGGCATTCGGGTGGGTGGGTAGGGCGGGACGGGCGGATCCTTCTGCCAAGGCTGAGGGGGTGGTTCTGCTTGGGGACGGTGCCCCAGAGCCAGCCCCCCCCCCAGTCCCACTCCGTCCTCCTCTGCTCCCAGGAGCAGCTCAGCGAAAGCCTGACCGTGACCACGGAATTCCACTCCACCGTCCAGGAGCTGCTGAAGTGGGTGGAGAAGATGGAGGAGCGCCTAGGCACCCTCCCCCCGCCCAGCTACATCCTCGACACCGTCACCCACCAGATACAGGAGCAGAAGGTCAGCTGGAGGGAGCTGGAGGGGCCCCAGCCCCCCCCTCTCTCTGGGGCAGGCGCCATCCTGAAGGGAGCTGCCCCGAGAACCTTGGGCCGCCCCGTGGGGTGGGGCACTCTGTGTCTGTGCCTGTGTCTGTGTGTGTGCGTGCGTGCGCTCTGGCCTGAGCCATAAAATGTACCTGGCTGTAGTCTTTGTGCCAAGGACATCCCGCTGTCCGGGGAGCAGCTGGGAAGCAATGGGGTCGCCCCGATGGGGAAGAGCGTGGTGCCCGCCCAGGCCCTGGAGCCTCAGTGACACTCAGAGCTAGAGAGCCCAGGGCCGCTGAAGGGGATGCTCCTGAGGCAGGGCGAAGGCCTCTGCCTTTCTGCCAGGGGATGACCCTGAGCCCCTGCTGGCTCTCCCTCTTGGCCAGGGGTCAGGGAGGTGCCCGGCCCCTGTGCTCCCTTTCCCCCTTGCTCCCTGGCAGGCCCTGATGAAGGAGGCCCAGAAGCAGAGCGAGAGGGTGGAGGGCCTGGAGGAGGCGGCCGCCCGGGTGAAGGACCTGAGCCGGCCGCAGGAAGGCACCGTCGCCCACAGCCTGGCGCTGAGCGCCAAGGAGCGGCTGGCCAAGGTGCTGCAGGAGCTGAGCGACCAGGGCGGGGCCCTGGACGAGGCCCGCAAGGGGGCCAAGCAGGTACCTGGCTGGGGTGAGGAGGAGGAGGCCCCACCTGAGGGGGGGGAGAGGCCGCCCCGCCTGGCGAGCCGCCTGGGGCATCAGGTGGCCGGGCTGAGGACCCTCGGCCCTGATGGCGGCCCCTCTCTGGCCTTCCAGTTCCACGAGTCGTGGCAGCTGCTTATGGACTGGCTGGAACAGGTGGGGCTGCCCGGGGACCCTGGTGCCACCCTGATGGCGCCCCCTCTCTGGCCTTCCAGTTCCACGAGTCGTGGCAGCTGCTTATGGACTGGCTGGAACAGGTGGAGCTGCCCGGGGACCCTGGTGCCACTGCTGCCGTGGCTGCCGCCACTGCCCTCAGCCAGGAGGGGATCCGGGCCCTTCTAGCAGAGCACAAGGTGAGCAACCCCTTCACACGGAGGTGGGAGGGAGGGAGGGAGGGAAGAAGGGCCTGCGTGCGGGGTGGGGGTTGGGGGGGCAGGCTGCCCCATCCCTAGAAATCCTCCCCTCCACTCTCTTTCTCTTCCCAAAAGTGGCACCGTGGGTGGGGGAAAGCAAGGGGCAGCCCCTGCGCAGCCCCCACCTCCTTTGCCCGGCTCTCCTACCAGACCCGAGGGAGGGGGCCACCAGGCGGAGTCGCCCTCCATCTCCTGGCCCTCCTCTGGGGCTTCTGGGGGTGTCAAGGGGCTGGCTGGATAGGCTGGTTTATCCCAAGGCAGGAAGGCCCAGTGCACCTTCCCACCTACCCCCCTTCTGTCACGGGGGGTGTGTGTGTGTGAAGGCAGAATCCTGGCACGGGCCTTCCTGGTGAAGGGCAGAAGCCCCCCGGGGAGCCTGAGATCAAAGCCCTCCCTCCTCCCTGGCTCTTTGTGGCTTCCCCCGCAGGGGGGCTGAGAGGGGGTCCTCTGACTCCATTGACCTCTGCCTCAGATCCGAGGGGCCAGGGGAGCTCCCGTGGGGTCTGGCGAGAACAGGCTCCCCGCGCCCTCTCCTGATCTAGGCCTTCTTGGCCCCTTCTTGGCCCACCCAGGAGTTCCAGAAGGTGCTGTGCGCCAAGCGGCCCGTCTATGAGGCCACCCTGCGGAGCGGCCGCCTGATCCGCGAGAAGGCCCGGCGGCCGGAGGACACCCAGCGGCTGGAGGAGATGCTGCAGGAGCTGAAGGCGCGCTGGGACGGGGTGTGTGGCTGGGCGGCTGAGAGGTGGGTGCTGCCTCGGGGGGAGCAGCGAGGGGCTCCTTGGTCTGGCCCGCCGGACCCCACGGCTCTGGCTCCCCCGCCCCCTCCATTCCTCGTCTCTCCGTTCTGGGAATGAGCCCGAGTCTTGGAGACGCCCTTGATGCTCAAAGAGGCTCAGAAGAAGAGCAGCCAAACCCTGAAGCCTCTGGTACACCCAGGAAGCAGGCATCGCCAGGCCCAGCAGCCCCCGACCTCCCCATAGATTAAGGCAAAGGGTTTCCAGGGAGAAGAGGTGCCCCACCCTCTGGGGGCGTGCGCACACGCACACGCACACGCACACACACACACACACACACACACACACACACACACACACACACACACACACTTTTATATACAAA